GTGGGTTGCTAATTGGTTGAAGGGAAGAAGTTCATGAATTGTAGTCAATGGGGCAGAGTCCTACTGGTGGCCTGTATCTAGTGGGATCCCTCAGGAGTCAGTACTGGGGCCAGTGTTTTTCAATAAATTCATCAATGATGTGGATGTGGGATTGGAGAACGTTGTCAGCAAGATTGCTGACACAAAACTGGGAGGAGTGGTTGACACACCAGAAGGCTGTGCAGCCATTCACAGAGACTTAAACAGGCTAGAGGACTGGGTGGGGAGAAATCTTATGAAGTTCAACAAGGGCAAGTGTAGAGTTTTGCACCTGGGAAAGAATAATCCCATGTGCCAGTATAGGTTGGGGACTGACCTGCTGGAGAGCAGCGTAGGAGAAAGGGACTCGGGGATTCTGGTGGACCGCCGGATGCCCATGAGCCAGCAATGTGCCCTTGTGGCCAAAAAGGCCAATGGCATCCTGGGGTGTATTAGAAGGAGAATAGCTAGTAGATTGAGAGAGGTCCTCCTGACCCTCTACTCTGGCCTGGTGAAGCCACATCTGGAATATTGTGTCCAGTTCTGGGCCCCTCAGCTCAAGAGAGACAGGGAACTGCTTGAGAGAGTCCAGTGCAGAGCCACAAAGATGATGAAGGGAGTGGAACATCTCCCTTATGAGGAAAGGCTGAAGGAACTGGGTCTCTTTAGCTTGGAGAAGAGGAGGCTGAAGGGTGATCTCATAAATGTTTATAAATACGTCAAGGTGGAGTGTCAGGAGGACAGAGCCAGGCTCTTTTCAGCGACGTCCAATGACAGGACAAACTTTTTCACTGTGAGGGTGACAGAGCACTGGAACAGGCTGCCCAGGGAAGTTGTGGAGTCGCCTTCCTCATTCAAAACTCACCTGGACTCGTTCCTGTGTGACCTACTGTAGGTGATCCTGCTCTGGCAGGAGGGCTAGACTAGATGATCTTTTGAGGTTCCTTCCAACCTCTGACATTCTGTGATTCTGTGTGATTCAGTTCAGAAATGTGGTATGCATTTTTACTGTTGGGTAAACCTGGAAACATTGATATTGTACAGGAATCTTCAAAACGGGCAGGAATACATTTACCATTTGAGGGAAGTACTGTACCAGCAAACGAGATAAGGAAGATCCTACTTTTAGAACCTGACATATCACAATATTGCTGTGGTTATCACAGTGTGGCTAATAACATGATTGAAAGCTGCTTGAAAGTTCTTCAGCCAATTAGCATTGTCTTTTCATTATTAAATCAGCAGTGTCTTGTAGATTTAATTACCCTGATTTCATTTCTAAGGCTGGTACTTCATACTGATAGACAAAATGCATACAGTAAGTTTTATGTGATGAGGAAGAAAATGTTTTATAGTGAATGAAAAAAGCTCTGATGGAATGGAGAGGTATTCCTTAACTGGGTTGTACATCATCAGGATTTTAATAAATTTCATTAAGGGCTTGATTATGCTATTCCTTTCTCCAGAGCCATTACTGAAGTTGAAAGGAGAACTGCAAAACGAAAACTTGTAAAACAATATCCTGGCATGAGAGGTCATTAAGGAATACTTTATCCTAGAAAGCAGACATGCAGCATCTGTATTTATTAGAGTATTAAAATTAGATATTTATTAAGAGTTTTCAGAGTGTTAATACAGTCTTTTTCCATATAGTAGAAGTTACTGACTTTACCTTAATTGTTCAGTAGGAATCACTCTGTAGCCCAAGTCTATCAAGTGAGGGGGTATTGTTTCATCTCACTCCACTTTTAGTCAGATTGTTAGAAAAGGTGATTATACATATAACTATATGGTGATTACTATAACTGTTGCAGATTTTCATCACAAGTATCTTATGAACAAACACGTTAAAATGTCAAGATTTTCTAAAAGTTTTTACAGATGCATCATATTAACACCAGAACTCATCTTGCTAATTGGGACTAGTCACAGCAATAAGATTAACCAATTATAGAAGTAATTAGATCTATGAGTATTAAGGAGTGTGTCAAGACTTGAGAGCTTCATGTAATTTACTGAGACAGTTCATTTTTTAAGAGGAAAATGGTAAAGTCACAGAATCACAGAATCACAGAATCACAGAATCACAGAATGTTAGGGGTTGGAAGGGACCTCTGAAGATCATCTAGTCCAATCTTCATCCCAGCATACCTAACCACTACACCATAGCCTCAAGTGCTAGATCTACTTTTTTTTTCAAACAGCTCCAGGGTTGGTGACTCCACCAGCTCCCTGGGCAGCCTGTTCCAGTGCCTCACCACTCATTCAGTAAAGAACTTCCTCCGAATATCCAATCTAAACTTACCCTGACGCAACTTGAGGCCATTTCCCCTCAAGTCAATATGTATTTAATTTCAAATGTATTGATTTCAGATTTTCCTTTAAAAGTTAAGTAGGCTTTTTAATCAATGGCCTACCTTTATAAGGCTGTTTCTAATAATGTGGTATTTTTCAGAAGTAGAAGAGAAAGAATAGTTCTTCTTAATATTTTATGTATATATTTTCAGAGATTTTATATGAAAAATATGTTGCCAGTAGATGATCTTGGAGTTAAAGTAGACCTTTTTTTTTAATGTGAATGTTAAGAACAAGTTTGTAAGGATCATATTCCATTTAGATCATACAAGTGAACACTAAAGAGAAGCCAAGTAATGCTTAATGTCATAATGACTCTTGTTTTCCATGTCTTTACCGAAATCTCCTTTACATGATTCTACTGTTGGAAAGGTTAGGCAGTGCTAATGCAAGAAAATGTTTGTAGCATTTACATTCTCTCACCAAATAGCTGCTCAACTTGTGTTTGAAAGTTATGCAAGGGCCTCAGATATTTAAAGTAAATTGGGTTTATAGTGTATTCTAAGGCTGAATAATTAAATGCGTATTTAGTATTCAGTAAAGCTGAATATATGGCTTTACAAAATACAAAAACATTACTAATCTGTATTTACTCTTTTCTGGAACATTTAATGCATTGCCTTTGTATCTCAATGCAACATAAATGCTGTGTCTTTGTGGACTCATAGCAAACTGGCTTGCATATTAACATGCTCCAAAAGTTTATTTTGTCTCATAATATCCCTACAAGATAAATCTGAAATATTTTCTTCATATGTTTGTTTAAAGACTTCAGACTCTAGGCAGATTCATGGCAGGGATTATGAGAAAGCTAGGTGATCTTGTTTATTATGTAAACATGTTTATTATGTAAACATGACTATAAAAGGTCAGAAATTATTTGACATTTCAACTCAAGCTAACTATATGTTAGGAAAGGATTTCATGACTGCAGTCACAAAAATGCCCTTGCTTCTTACCTAAGATGTTATCTAGTTAGCCAAGAAGACAGCAATCTGTTTATCAATAAAAACTACCATATCTATTAACATAGTGTTAATATTAAGCCAGTATAGGCTGGTTTTTTTCCCCCAGATACTCCTGTGAAGACCATGAAAGAAACTGAGTAACATTTTAGTGTTCAGGTTCTACCCAAGTATTTTATATTATGAAATTTCTTTATTTTGAAAAGGGAGTATTACTGCATGTCACTGATTGCAGTACGGTCTCTCTGAGTATTAGGAGATGTAGCGTTACATAGGTAAATTGAGAAAAGCCTATCCTGAGGAAAATAGAGTTCTATGATACAAATCTTGGCAGTGCTTTTGAGCGGTGTGGCACAAATAAGAATAGTGGAAGTGAGCATATTTTCAGGTACATAAGGTGCCAATACCAGCAAATTGGTATCACTCTTTTAGTTGAATGGTACTCCGCTGATTTGTTGTTTTTTCTCTTCTCCTGTGTTTAAATAAAATAAGGCTGTCAAAGCTGTTTTGCTTTTGCCATGGAGGACACGAACAGACATACCAAAGGAATCACTGTACAGAAGTGCATTTCTCCCTGTTTGAAGACTGAACAATTTTTTAAATGAACTAAAAATTAACATTGTCTAACAACAACATGAAAAGTACTAAATAGTACAGCTGATTTTTACTACTATCCACTACATCTGATTTTTGCTATCTTAGGCAAGCTGAGGATAGCAAGTTCCTGACAAGCAGGCAGGCATTTGGAGGTTTCTATTGGGGATGCTGTATCTCAGATGGACCAATCTTATTTTAAAAAAGTTTCTGCCTTTTTCCCATGTGCTATGCTGGCCTCTAGTTTGCCTGTTATGGACGTATGGGAGGGTGTAAGCAGTGTTGTTCCTCCCCTTATTTTTTAAAGCAGAGAGGAAAGACTGTTTTCCTTCCAGCTGCACATAATTCTTTTTTTGGAAAGCTAAAGTCTGTTCATTTTGGTGAGTCTGAAGCTGTACATGAGTTTTTATTCTCTGATAGTGGTCTGTGGTAATGTTTATCGAGTTGCTTCATGACTGCTGCTGAGATTTGACTAGCACACCTCTCCATAGTCAGATTTTCATTAGGAAGAGGTAATTACTTTCTCTGTGTTATTCTGCAGCCAGTACTGCCTGGTAAAAATTAATAAAATACTTTTTCTTGTATGGAATGGTAAGTGAACCTTGTATAACATGACAAGTGATCACTCTGTGCTTATGGGAAGCTGTTAAGATCTATCTAAATTTTAGTGAATTACTCTTACTTGTGTGTGATAGGAATATTGAAAGATAAGGTATAAATGAGCCAAAAAAAGACAAATCCATAGTCAGGTGCAACTTCAAGATGTCATTTTCAGAAACAACAGTGTACTTTCTTACACATCTAATTTACTTGTATTATTGTGAATTTGACAGCAGAGAAATCAAGATGAAAATAGGAGGAATTCTCATTGACTTAATCTACATTTTTCTTTCTATAAGTTTCTAAAAGAAGCTTTTATTTAACATAGAGGGAAGCATGTCCTTTTAATTTCCTTAAGGTTCATGGATGATTTCAATGTGACCTGAGCCTCAGGTGACAAGTATTCAAGGCTTTTTTTCACTATGTCGTGCCTGGTAGCTGGAATAAACTTCATGATTTTAGAAGGCATATATAGTGCAATATAAATCTGAGTGGCAGAGCTCAGACCTAGAAAAAGAATGATCTGTCTATTTCAATGGAAGTCATAACAAATTGTCTAGTGTCAAATTGCCACTATAGAAAAATTTTAATACCCCAAAGCTTTTTCATGCAAAGTGTAATTTATCGTATAAATGGCTACTAATAACCTTACAGATGTATTTTCATTATTAGGTAAGGAGAAGATAAAAATGACAGTTATTTGTACAACTTTGATTGTTTTGTGAGTAGAAATAATGTTTATTCACATTGCCTTCTGCTAGCAGCAAGAAAAGAACTCTTACCATACTGAAAATCTGCTGGCCTGCTATTTGAGATTTACTTCTTAATGGAAATACATAGCAGATAACTGGCCTATCATGATTGCCTACAATGCTAGATAACCAGTCTTTCACTAGTAGAAGACGCAAATAAAATCACGTCTATGCTACAATATGAAAGTCATTGACATGAACATATAGAATATTGAATATAAAAATATTCTCCCATCACTGAAATACTTTTTCACTCTGTATGAAAAGCCTGATATGCAAAGAGTCTTGATATCATATCTAAACTGTACTGGGTTACCTTTGGAAGTATAGACTTATGAGTATGTGCTCACACATGAACATGTTTTGTATATGTGTGGGTTTGTAGGAGGATAAGCACTTTTAAGTCAGTCCTTGTGTGAGCTGTGCAGATCTTTATGAACTGTAACCAATAAGTGTGTACAAATGAGTGTGTACAATCAAATGGTTACATTCTGTTATTTACCAGGATAAAATCTTGCCTTAATTATTGTGACTAAACACAAATGACCACAACAAAATTTAAAAAAACATTAAGCTGTCCTCGTTAGTATAGTGGTGAGTATCCCCATCTGTCACGCGGGAGACCTGGGTTCGGTTCCCCAATGGGGAGGTTGCATTAACATAGGGGCCGGCTAGCTCAATCAGTTGAGCATAGCACTAACAAGGCTAAGGTTGCAGGTTCGATTCCCATTCGGTCCCTATGGGTTGCCTGATGTAGTCGAGAGGTGGTGTCACTGGCAGCAGGGATGCTGGATTAAAATGATCTCTAAGGTCCCTTCCAGCTCAGGCCATTCTATGATTACTGCTTAATATGGACATTACAACTGAATCCTTTTCTTAAATAGCATGCATTGTTCTCTATTTAAAGTGTGGGAAAAAAATCTTATACAAAAGATTTGTTTAAAGTTAAAGGAAACTCAAGGGGTTACAACTGATACCATGCTTAACTCACCTTGTTATGAACATATTTTCGGGGAAATTGTGAGTATGCAGCACTTGTATCTGACCTGTACTTGCAATGTCAACATACCCTTCATGCAAACCTGTACAAAAATGTACACAAAATACCATCCACTGATCACGTGGCTGGGCATTTGATTAATGTGATTCAAAGTGGAATCAGACTACAGGAGATTTCCACTCTTTCTGATTTTTTTACCTAGAGAAGGACATGGCCCTTGCCTAAGAATTCAGAGTTGGCAGAAGATCCTCTTTTTTAAATACACATTTTTTTCCCTTGAGGTTAAAACCATCCCTGCAGTCATAGCAGGCCTACATGAGCTGGTCTGGATCTAGATGCTGTCTCCAGATCCCTGCTTCTGGAAAATGGAGTTTGTATTTTACACATATTCAGGCACGTACTTATGTTTCTGCTTAAGCGTTTTGTACATGCCATCAGCCTTACTCTGCTTGTCCAAACCATGATCTTTTCATTGCAAGAGTTCTCTACTAAATGGAAACTTGAATAGTAAAGGTTAGAATTATGTGAGGAATATACTTGCTTTCCTGAAATTGCAGGTTCCTATCATCTTAGATAATGTATCTGCATGCAAACTGTAATTGTCCCATTAATTGTAATTGTCTCAGCCTGTTCCTGGCTATTATAAGCTACCATTTCTGAACAAGATCTTGATCTCTGTTAAACCAGTATAAATCTAGAGTAATTCACAAGGCTTAATTGAAAGTCCTTCTAATTTAGACATGTAGAACTGAAATAGAAACCTGACCCACTGCACATGTTGCAGTGTAAGAAAACAAACCAAGCCAAACCAAGCAAAACTTACAGTGAATAATGAAAATTTATTTCTCATATGAACTTTACACTTTATGCCTTACATTCTTCAGTTTTCATGTTCTGGGAGAAGAGTTTTTTTTATAAAAATTCTAAACCAAATTTAAATAAAATCACAAGAATTGTTTATGCATGTAGGAGTGAAGACTTTAAATTTTGATCTCTTGTTAGCAGAGTATTTGAATAGCTGGAATAATACATTTTTTATACTTCTTAATTAAACTGATATTATCCATATCAGCTCTTTCACTCATAAAAATCTAGTCAGGTTAGCAAGTTATTCAGTTACCAATCTAAAACTCCACAAAAGATGCTCTTGATTCACATATGTTTTAATTATACAATTTATATTTGGGTCCTATTAGCAGGCATTTGCCAAATACAGATATGTTGGTATTTCTTTATTAAACAAGGGAAAGAATGTCATATGTAATCCTGGGAAGCTGGAAAAATATGCCAATTTAATAATTGTTTCTTAATGCAATAAATTAAGGCAGAAAGAGATATGTATGATATTGAAATACTTCACTTACAACCAGTCTTTTCTATACTGCTTAGGCAGAGGAGTATCAGATTGCTAAACATTTCCTAAATTAGCTTTCTGAAGCATATTCTTTCAGGGAGGTAACTCTGCTCTGCAGAGGTGGTTCCTCCAATACGAAGTTATTCCGCCAATTTTGAATCATATGAGCATTTCTGAAAGTAGGGGTCAACTCAAAAACCCGTGCTAGTTTGTTCTTTATTGCATTTTTCTAACTAACTGCTGTGGCTCATTTTGTGTGTTAGGTGTGATTTTCTGTTGGTCTTCTAAAATGAGTAAATATGTTTGATTACTTGTAATAGCAGAGAAATAGTACACTTATTGAATAGATCACAGTCCCCAGTGTATCTGAGTATGTGGTAGCCCCTTGTGTCTTTTTTGTACCAACACGTATTTTTGAATAAATGTAGAAGGGGTGTGTTTCGTTTCATCACATCAAGATGAAAGACAAGAAGTGTGTATATACTTTGATGGATATCGGTGTATGCCTACATTTCTGCAGTATAATGATATAATCTAAATTAATTACTGTCACACAATACAGTAGAATATGATCAATGTAAGTGATGTTTCCTTATTTTCACTGATAGTAACTATATGTATTGTGAAATCCTGTTCTTCATTTCAAAAAGAGAATCCACTCTTTTACATGGAACTTTATTCTTGCTGATCTCATACATGTTAAAAAGTCTCATATTACCAATCCCTTTATATTTCTTTTGGCTTTATGCAGCTTCAGCATGAGATCAGATACTTAGACCTCTATAGGGCACCTGGATTACCTGAAAAAGTTATACTTTCGAGTGATCTTGCTTTTGCAAATAGTGATTCTGCCGAAGAGCATTCTCTGTGCTATGCCTCCTCATTCAGAAGGCAAATCATCATTGCCTGCTTTGTGTTATACAAAACAATGTATTTGCAAAAGATTTCATAGCCAGTATTACATCCAAGCTGCGGGACTGAGAGAGACTTCTAGTACTATAAAGTAGTTCCTTGCAGTTATTGTTGCATTGAAAGGTTTCTGTTTTAGGTAACTGCTGGTTTAATGTTCCATCCCTGTTATCCCAGAGGGTCTTCCTCTGCCTGTTTTCACAGGGCACTGTACTTAGGGGAGAATTGTTATTTCTTTCTTTTAATTTATAACCAGTGGAATGGAACTTCAAGAGTCAGAAACAAGTTTTGCTTTTAGAGCTGTACAGAGAAACGCCCATTCTGTCAGCATAAGGATGTACATACATGTGCTTTAAAGATGATTTTTTCTTATTTTTTTTCATTTTTTTCCAAGCTGGATAGAATAGCTTTGAATAAAAACCAGGAACCATCTTTTATTCTAATTATAATTATACATTTTCATTTTCAGTCCTGCTTTCAAATACTCAAGGAGAAGCACAGACCAACTCTAACTCCATATTCAACAACATTCCACTTCAC